CAATTATACTATTTTGGAGAAACACAATTGATTACCAATAAGGTATTGTGTTGTAGTAAGTCTCAAAAAACTTATTCAGTTTCCAAAGTATATGCGAAAGCGGTTGATTATATTAAGACTATAAATAAAGGAAAGATTTAATATCTTCTATTACTACAACTTGTAGCGGGATAATATCTATGTGAAAAGCTACCCGCTTTATTCTCTAATTTGTACTACATAAATAAAAGAATGCCACAATAAAGTAGAAGTTTATTGATATAAAAACCCATATCATAATAAATTTGGAGTTTATTGATAATTGCACACGTCATGGTGTAAATTCGAAGTTTATCAATATTGATAATTTATTCCGTTGGCATAATTGGTTTAGCCATATTAATTTAAGCATCATGTGCAAAAATAAACGAGAATTCACATGGGTAAATATTAAAGAACTAGAAAGTTCTTTACGAATTCTCTTATAATTTGTGTTCTCATTAATTAATTGACCAACTAAAATTGGGATTGAATCCCATGAATGCTGGAAATATCAAAGGTGAATATGGGCCCATTCACCTGGCATGTATACCACATAAGATGCATCTATGAGATGGTTACATGTGCAATTATTATTAACCCGCAACCTGACTGGTGCGTGCGAGGTAACTTGCTCAATAATTTAATTTCGAGCATAATTTCCAGATTTTCTATTCAAGAAGTTCATCTTGATAAGTTGGTTTACATCACAGTTGGTTTAGCAAAATGATTTATTGAGTGCCTCCACTTAATAGCTAAACTATTGCTTATGAGAACAAAGTTATCTATTTTAGTTTGATATAGGTTATATACGAAAGTATATTACATTCTCTCCTCACAAGTGGTTTCAGGGTCAGGAACCAAATAATTCCATCTCATTATTATTGATGTGCGGTGTATATTTTGATTAACACCATAATGCACAAAGATGGGTTCTCAAAGTTGAGGAAACAAGTTAGTTTTTCTACCATGAGGGGGAGACAAGATACAAGAGTTGAGAAAAAGTTACATGGAATGAATTATCATTTATACATCTAGATCCCGAATAAAATAATATGAACTTGAAGTTCATAAAAGGATAATTCATTTGCAATATATTGCAAAGCATGCCATACGCATTCGCTGACCCAAAGAAAGTAACTATATTCTCACTGCAAATACTCCTATTAGAATAAGTCCTAGAAGGACAAAAGTCTATAGTACGCTTAAAAGCATATAGACAAATCGGTTTCAAATAAACTTCTTGATAAAGAAGATGAGCAAATGATCATAATAAAAGGAGGCAAGTGATATAGAAGATCACATGACATAACACTTCATAAAATCTCAAGAGAGATTCAGGTACCTGAAAATATGAATGAAGAGATCTCTATGTTATGTCTTTATGAAAAAATATTGAAACTGATATAAAATGTTTATCGACGACATCTATATATATATATATATATATATATATATATATTATATATATAAGGATCTTAAGTCTGAAGAAACAATTCGAATAGAATTGGTTTCATATGAAAGACATGTAGTTTTGAACATGTAGTTCAAACACTTGAAAGTATAAAGTCAATGGTATGTGCAATCAGTTTTCGATATCTTATATGTCTAGCATGACATGAAAACTTGATATGCATCTGACGTCTATTATATGGCTTATATGACTTAAAAATCCTTGAAGGATTTAAATTGCTTAAAGCATATAGAATTCATGGTCATGAAGTACTATATCCTAAATGCAATTTGTGCACATATGTATCTTGCTATAACTATAAGCATGATAATATGATAGCAAGAGTTTTCACCCCTATGTGAAGATATTGAAATGATGATTCCAACAAGATCATATGAAGACAATACATCTATCAGAGATGATGATTTCAAGGTGAAACAAATTCGTTGAAGTTAATATGGCTGATATTGTTTATCAAATATCTACCAACGATCTTTTGAAGATGGTGCACAAGATTGGAATGCAAATGCTTAAGGATGTGAATTGATGCTCTCATCAGGGGGAGTTAATACGCGTCGTACTCTTTTTCCCTTACAAGGTTTTGTCCCACTAGGTTTTTCTTGCAAGGTTTTTAACGAGGCAACCAAAAGGCGTACTGTTAGATATGTGTACTCTTTTTCCTTCTCTAGAATTTTTTTCCCACTGGGTTTTATTTTAGTTAAGGTTTTAACGAGGCACATTATCTGTTGAATAGACACTCAAGGGGGAGTGTTATAAATAGAATTGTATTTATGGTGAATGTCTATATTTAGAGAGATTCTAGGGTTCATTGCTTGGTGGCTAAGTCACCCTCTCCTTATAAATAGAGGGTTCTATTCCATTGTAATTCATCCCAAATCAATAAGAATTTTCTCTCTCTACTCTTCTATGTAATACTCTTCTTCATTTATTGTTTTATAACAATATCCTATTTTTTTTAGTAATGATGCAAGTTTATTATTGTGGATGGGTGATATCATAAAACGATGCGAACAACATAATCTATCCAAACGTTATATTCGCCAAACAATATAATGAAATGACATGAAACAACAATCCAAACAAGCTATTAAGCTCGAACTCAATACGAAGTAATCAAAGAGCTCGAGACAAAGTGATCCATCCACTCCACAGACCACAAGAATACTCAATTTGCCATTAAAGATATTTGAAACTGAACAAATTATAAGGGGAAAACAAAAAGCAACTAATTTGCCCTATTTGGTTGCAGCATTTTACGCTTGCTAATTCCATCCCTTTGTTCTATGCTAGTATCATTTAATCTTAATTAAACTCTTTTTCAATCTTCTCTCCATTATATCTTCTCGTCTCTTTAGCCAACGATGTTGAGATTTTTAATCGTCTGCGGTTAATTTCTCTGTGAAGTTCATCGAGCTCATTGAACGAACTAAATGCTCTGTTCAAGTACTTTGCAATGGCGTAAGAATGTCCGGCGCCGGCGGCCTCATCGGCGACGAAATTTGATACCAGTGAAGCTGCTTTAGATAGAGATATCGGCTTAGTTTTCGTTGCCTTACCTGAAACTGTTTTCATGGCTTTAGCTTAATGGATTGATTGGTCTATGTGGCGAGATGACTTGTATTGTACCTTAGGGTTTGCATGCGAAAGATGGATCTCTCTACTTTTGGATTTTCAAATGAGAACGGTAAGTGAAAAGGATTAGGCTTGGCCCAGTTTGTTGAAGTGGACGCAAAGTTCACAAATAGCCGTTTTTAGGACTCCAATAACCACTATTTTGCTGAAACACGAAAAGTTACAGCATAATATGCGGGATTATGGAGCTTTTGCATATAAAGTTCCAGCATTATGTTGGAACTCCAGCACATGGAAATTTTTAGCATAATATACGAGATTATGGAGCTCTTGCATATAAACTTCCAGCATAATATGCGGGATTATGGAGCTCCTACATTTAAACTTCCAGCATATTATTTTAGAACTCCAGCACACGAAAAGTTTCAGCATAATATGCGGGATTATGGAGTTCCTGCGTATAAACTTCCAGCATATTATGTTGGAAGTCCAGCACATTATGCTGGAATCTCATATGTAAAAAATTCGAACTCCAACATATTATGTTGGAAATTTTTTTGAATTTTTAAGGGTGTTTTTATTCAGATTTATTTTTACATGAAAAAATAACTAAAATTCAATTACTTTTGAAACTGTGACTATTTTTTAATTACCAATTGTAAATTCAGACTTTCATGTATGAAGTTAAGTTATGGTAAAGCTCAATTTCAGAGGGTTTGAAGACAAAGAAGAAGAATAAGATCCATGAAGCAGTAAGTTCAATATGAAATAATTTGAAAGGCAAAATTTTTCGAAAAGGACAACTTGTGACGATTGATGAATGAAAAGAAAGAAAGGTAAAGTTAATAGTAATGTTGAATCTCGAAAACCCCTAAAACTGTTGGAATATTCACAAAAATAATTATCTCAAAAATTTCATACTCTCATGAAATATTCACAATATTACGAATAACAAAAAAGTACATTGAGCCGTTGGGAAATATTAACGCTTCGACAATTTTCGTAGGCGGAGCTGTAGCTGGCAAAGGGTGATCGATTGACACCCATTGAGAAAAATTATAGTGTATATAAGTTGAATGTTATATTTTTACACATATATTAAACACCATTTGAATTTTTTTACTATATATAGGTTAAATATTATTTTTTATATGTATATGTGGAATAATTTGGCCCTTCCTCAAATCATGCATGAATATGAAATACTTTGTGCATCGAGCTGTGAGATTCCTAACTTCACCTCTGCTTGTATGCCCCGCACTGGATCCTACTCGGTAGAGTGTAGAGACACGTATGAAATCAAGAGATATCAAATTTAATCCACAAAATTTAGCTTTAATATTTCTGAAAACTTTCCCATATCCTAAGAACATCTGATATCAGAATATCCACGTACAACCGTTTTGCACAATAATTCAAAATTCTCTGCTGCATCTGAAGCAGATTTAGCCCATGTTATGTGAGCAGCAAAGTTGAAAACAAATTCTGTTAGGAGAATTAAGAAAAATGTTTTTGAGTATGTTAGGCTCTGACGCTGCAGTTTCCATTAGATTAGGCAACAACAACAATAACAAGGCAGTGAAATCCCACAAGTGGGGTCTGGGTAGGTTAATGCCTACACAAACCTTACCTGTACCTTATGAAGGCGGAGAGGCTGTTTCCGATAGACCCTCGGCTCAAGAACAGTGAAAGGAAGCAATAACCAATTAATAGCAACAACAAGATAAAAGGCAGCGGAAGCAAATGGCAAAACTTGTAATAACAAGAACAAGGTCTACGACAATACAAGACTAGTGTCAACAACTGGTAATAGTGACGACGCACTGTGCAGTAACAAGGAACTAGGAATAGGAAAGTACAAGATTCCATTAGATTAGGCAAGGTCAGCAATATATGAAGTATAGTTCTCTGTTACAGTCTTAGCAGCAAATAAATACGTAATAAAGCATATCCTACAGAATGACCATTATCAGATGAATATAATGGAAAGGTATTGATAGTGAACAAAATAATTCTTGGTTTCACAGCTTGTCTATAAATGCTGCAAGGAGGGCCATTAAACTAATAAAAAGGGCAACCGGTACACTAAGCTCCCGCTATGTGCAGGATCCGGAGAAGGGCCGGACCACAAGGGTCTATTTTACGTAGCCTTACCCTACATTTATGCAAGAGGCTGTTTCCACGGCTTGAACCCGTGACCTCCTGGCCATTAAACTAATACACTGTTAAAAAAGATCTTAAAATTTCATAATGTTTAAACAACCATTATACAATGTCCTAGAGTATATTACACAGCCAGCCGGTCCCACAAGCTCTTGTCACCAAAGGTGATCAAACATAAAACATCATCTTGGACGTTTAGCGCCAAGGGGAAAGGATACTCGCTGAGGAGTACCTTGAGGCACATCTGCCTTTTCATGAGAAACACTTGGATTTTGGGTTGGGGCTGGGTTGGGATCAGCACTTTCTTCATCCTCCTCTGTTTCTTCTGGTTGGCTAATTTGCTTCTTTGCAATAGCTAGCTGATAGTTTGGGTTGATCAACGTATCTTGTTCAGGAGGGAGTGATACTCCGGGCCCAGCAATTGATTTCGGCAATGGGATCTTGTTTCTGTTCCTAGCCAGCTCCAGTAGGACCTGATAAGCGATAGAATATCATAATTTTGAAATTCTGAAGAGTAAGAATTTGAGCGCGGAGGATAATTGAGGTTGCTCCAGTAGAAACAAGAAAGAGTACTTCCGTCCCAACCAAAAGATTGGGAGTTCGAGTTACCAATGAAGCAAAGTCGGAAAGGGCCACCATTGACTCCTAGGAAATGGGTTTTTTTTTTTTTTTTTTTTT